TGATCGCCAGTCTAACTGGCATGAGGTGTATCTAATTGTGATTTTGACTTGCATTTCCATAATGACCAGTGATGATGAGTTTTTTTTTCATATGTTTTTTGGCTGCATAAATGTCTTCTTTTGAGAAGTGTCTGTTTATATCCTTCGCCCAGTTTTTAATGGGGTTATTTTTTCTTCTAAATTTAAGTTTCTTGTAGATTCTGGATACTAGCCCCTTGTCAGATGGGTAGATTGCAAATACTTTCTCCATTCTGTGGGTTGCCTGGTCACTAGGTATTGATGGAACATATCTCAAAATAGTAAGAGGTATTTATGACAAACCCACAGCCAATAGCATACCGAATGAGCAAAAGCTGGAAGCCTTCCCTTTGAAACCCAGCACAAGACAAGGATGCCCTCTCTCACCACTCCTATTCAACATAGTCCTGGAAGTTCTGGTCAGGGCAATCAGACAAGAGAAAGAAAGAAAGGGTATTCAAATAGGAAGAGAGGAAGTCAAATTGTCTCTGTTTGCAGATGATGTGATTCTATATTTAGAAGACCCCATCATCTTAGCCCAGAATCTCCTTAAGCTGAAAAGAAACTTCAGCAAATTCTCAGTATACATAATCAATGTGCAAAAATCACAAACATTTCTACACAACAATAATAGACAAAGAGCCAAATCATTAGTGAACTCCCATTCACAATTGCTATAAAGATAATAAAATTCCTAGGAATACAACTTACAAGGGATGTGAAGGACCTCTTTAAGGAGAACTACAGACCACTGCCCAAGGAAATAAGAGCGGACACAAACAAATGGAAAGATATTCTATGCTCATGGATAGGAAGACTCAATATTGTGAAAATGGCCATACTGCCCCAAGTGATTTGTGGATTCAATGCCATCCCCATCAAGCTACCATTGACCATCTTCACAGAACTGGAAAAAAACACCTTAAACTTCATATGGAACAACAAAAAAAAGCCACATAGCCAAGACAATCCTAAGCAAAAAGAACAAAGCTGGAGGCGTCATGCTACCTGACTTGAAACTGTACTACAAGGCTACAATAACCAAAATTGTGTGGTACTGGTTCCAAAACATATATAGATCAGTGGAATAGAACAGAGGCCTCAGATATAATGCCGCATATCTACAATCATCTGATCTTTGACAAACCTGACAATAACAAACAATGGCAAAAGGAGTCCCTATTTAATAAATAGTGTTGGGAAAACTGGCTAGCCATATGCAGAAAACTGAAACTCGATCCCATCCTTAACCTTATACAAAAATTAACTCAAGGTAGATTAAATACTTAAACATAAAACCTAAAATCATAAAAACCCCAGAAGAAAACCTAGGCAATAGCTTTCAGGACATAGGCATGGGCAAAGACTTCATGACTAAAACACCAACAAAAGCCAAAATTGACAAGTGTGATCTAACTAAACTAAAGAGCTTCTGAACAGAAAAAGAATTTTTACTGTTTTCAAGGCTGAATAGTATTCTGTTGTATACATACCACATTTTCTTTACCCGTCGATGGGCAGTTAGATTGATTTCATATCGTGGCTATTATGAATAATGCTTCAATGTACATGGGAGTACAGATATTTCTCAGATACACTGATTTTATTTCCTTTGGATATATACCCAGAAGTGGGATTGCTTGTTCATATGGTAGTTATATTTTTAATTTTCTGAGAAACCTTGATGCTCTTTCCATAGTAGCTGTACTAATTTATATTCCCAGCAGCAGCATACAAAAGCTCTCTTTTCTCCATATCCTCACCATCATTTAGCTCTTGGCCTTTTGATCACAGCCATTCTAACAGGTATGAGATGATGTCTCACTGTGGCTTTAACTTGGGTTTCCCTGATGGTCAATTATGTTGAACCATTTTTCATATACCTGTTGTCCATTTGTATGTCTTCTTTTGGGAAATGTCTATTCAGATCTTTTGGCCAGTTTTTAGCCATGTTATTTATTTTCTTGTTACTGAGTTGCTTGAGTTTCTCATATATTTTGGATATTAACCCCTATGTTAGGCCATTCTTACATTGCTATAAAGAAATACCTGAGACTGGGTAATTATGAAGAAAAGAAGTTTAATTGGCTCATGTTTCCACAGGCTGTGTGGGAAGCATAAAACCAACATCTGCTTCTGGAGAGGCCTCTGGAATCTTACAATCATGGTGGAAGATGAAGTGGGAGATTGCATGTTACATGGTGAAAGTAGGAGCAAGAGAGCCAGTGGGGGGTGCTACATGCTTTTAAATGACCAGATCTCACAAGAACTCACTCACTGTGGTGAAGACAGTATCCAGAGGGATGGTACTAAACCATTCATGAGAAATCTGCCTGTGTGATAAAGTCACCTCTCACCAGCCCCCACCTCCAACATTGGGGATTACATTTCGATATGAGATTTGCCTAGGAACACACATCCAAACTATATCAACCCTTTATCAGATATACAGTTTGCAGATATTTTCACCCATCTTTAAGTTGTCTCCTTACTCTGTTAAATGTTCCTTTGCTGTGCTGAAGCTTTTTAGTTTGAGGCAATCCTATTTGTATATTTTTCTCTTCGTTGCTAGTGCTTTTGGGGTCATATTAAAAAAAAAAAACCGTTGCCAGACCAATGCAAAATATCTTTTCCCCTATGTTTTCTTCTAGTAGTTTTATGATTTCAGGTCTTATGTGTAAGTCTTTAATCCATTTTGAGTTTATCGTTGGATATGGTGTGTGTATAAGGGTCCAGATTAATTTTTCCACAAGTGAATATCCAGTTTTCTTAATGCCATTTATTGAAGAAGCTGTCTTTTCTCTATTGCATGTTCTTGGAACCTTTGCTGAAGATCACTTGACTGTAAATGTGTGTATTTCTGGTTCTCTATTTTTTCTGTATGTCTGTCTTTATGCCAGTAGCATTCTGTTTTGATTATTTTAACTTTGCAGTATATATTGAAATAAGGTAGTGTGATGCCTCCAGCTTCGTTCTTTTTGCTCAAGATTGATTTGGCTATTCTGGGTCTTTATGGCAAAAATTATTTTTTCTATATCTGTGAAATGTGTCATTGGACTTTTAGTAGGGATTACATTGAATGTGTAGATCACTTTGGGTGGTATGAGTAGTTTAACACTATTATTGCAGTTGATGAACATGGGATCTTTTCATTTATATTTTCTTCTTTTCTTTCATCAATGTTATTTACAGGGCTTTCGCTTCCTTGGTTAAATTTATTCCTAAGTATTTTTTTATGCTATTGTAAATGGGGTGATTTTTAAAAATTTCTTTTTTAGATAGTTTGTTGTTAGTGTATACATGTGCTGCTCATTTTTATGTTGATTTTGTATCCTGTAACTTAACTGAATTTATTAGTTCTAATAGGTTTTCTGGTTGAGCCTTTAGGGTTTTTCTGTATATAAGATCATGTCATCTGTAAACAAAGACAGTTTGACTTCTTTCTTTCCAGTTTGGATGCCTTTTATTTCTTTTTCTTCCCAAATTGCTGTGGCCAGGACTTTTAGTAACATGTTGAAAATAAGTGGAAAAATTACGGATATCCTTGTCATGCTACTGATCTTCAAGGAAAAGCTTTCAGTTTTTTGCTATTGAGTATGAAGCTAGCTGTGGGTTTGTCACATATGAACTCTATTATACTGAGATACATTCCTTCCGTACCTAATTTTTTGGAATGTTTTTCATGAAAGAATGTTGAATTTTATCAAATAGTGTTTCTGCATCTATTGACATAAAATTTTATCTTTCATCCTGTTAATATGGTATGTCATATTTACTGATTTGTGTATGTTGAATCATCCTTGTGTTCCAGGGATAATTTCCACCTGATCATAGTCAATGGTCCTTTTAATGTGCTCTTAAATTTGGTAATTATAGAAATTTATTACTCACAATTTTGGAGGCTGGGAATGTCAAGATCAAAGCTCTTACAGATTTGGTATCGGTGGAGGGATCTCTTTTCCCAGGATGGAGCCTTGTTGCTGCATTCTCACGTGGTAGAAAGGGCTGTATTATTATATGGCACAAGGACAAAAAGAAAAAAATGAGATGACTACTACATCTTTACATTGCGGAAGGTATGGAAGGGCAAAGGGACTTGGCTAGTTTCCTCTAACTCTTTCATAAGGTGGCTAATCCCATTCATAAGGGTAGATCTCTAATGACTTACTCACCTCCTAAAGGCTCCATGTCATTACTGTTGAACTGGGGATTAAGTTTCAGCAAGAAGTTCGGAGGGGGCACAAATATCCAAACCATGGTATCTATAATACATTGTGAGTTAATTTTTCTGAAGGGTGTAAGGTCTGTGTCTAGATTAATTTTTGTTGTATGTGGATATCCAATTGTTCCAGCACCATGGAAAAGAAAGCTTCTTTATTCCATTGTATTACCTTTGCTCCTTTGTCAAAGGCCAGCTGCCTATCTTTATGTGGATCTTTTTCTGGGTTCTTTATTCTGTTCCACTGGTCTGTTTCATCAATACCACATCATCTTGATTACTGTAGATTTATAATAAGGCTCGAAGTCAGGTTGTGCCATGTCTTCAACTGTGTTCTTCTTTAATGTTGTGTTAATTATTCTGAGTCTTTTGTCTCCCTTTATAAACTTTAGAATCAGTTTGTCAGTATCTGTAAGATTTCTTGCTGGAATTTGGGTTGCAACTGCATTGAGTCTATAGATAAGTTGGGAAGAACTGACATCTTGACCATGTTAAGTCTTCCTACTCATGAACATGAAATGTCTCACCATGTATTTAATTCTTGATTTTGTTTATCAGAGTTTGATAGTTTTTCTTATGTAGATCTTCTACATATTTGGTTAGATTTTTACCTATTTAATTGTTTACATACTAATGTAAATGATACTGTGTTTTTGTTCAAATTCTATTGTTCATTGTTGATATGTAGGAAAGTGATTGACTTTGTATATTAACCTTATACCCTGCAACCTTTTTATAATCAGTTATTAGTTAAATTTTTTTCTTATTTTAAGTTGTTTATTGTAAGATAATTTACAAATACCTTACTGTCTTCAGTAATTCAAACAATGGAGGAACACTTTCTTCTGACGAAGACAGCAGTAAGCTAAAAACAAAATCACCTGGCTGAATTTTCCTTCCTTACCTCTTCTCTGAGGATGGAACTTCATTTTCATTAATCCAGAGCTTCAGCACCAGAGATAATTTCAATCAACTCTTTTGTGATGACAGCTTGGCCAGTACGGTTGAATGTCAGTGTCAATTTGTCAATCATCTCAGAAGCATTCTTGCTGGCGTTATCCCTGGCTGTCATCCTGGCACTCTGCTCACTGGTGGTGGACTCTTTCAGAGAGTAGTAGATGATGTTGGCCAGATTGTATCCTTGGTAATTTTGCAGCACATCAGCATCCATATCGTTTAGATACTCGTGCTCTCAGCACTTTCAATGGTGTTAAGGGAAAAGATGGGCTTTTCTTCTGTCTTAAAGATGATAGACCTGAATCGATTAAAGTTGATGGAGACTTCATCAAATTCGTATACAAAATTGAGTAATTCAAAAGCAATGGCTGGCACATCTCCAAAAGTAGGAGGCTTTCTTCCCATTTCTTTGAATGCCACTAGAAACTGGTCAGAATGAGTCCTATAAAGTATGCCTCTGATTTTGTCACCCATTCCAACCAGCGTAACTTCTTTCCAAGCTAGTGTTAGTGTAGCAACCTCGCTTTCCATCTGTTTAGCAATGGAGGAATGAATAGCACCATGTTTCTTCTTGTCTTCAGGCACCTTGATACCAGCTTTTTCATACAGAGCCAAAGTTTCCAATCTATATATTTGAGCATGTTTCAGCTCTCTCAGAGCTCAGGTGTATTTTGCTGCTGCTACCATTTTCATAGACTTGGTAAATTACTGGATATTTTAGATGAACTTTAGTTGCCTCATAATACCTTTCAAAGTTGCCATATTTTGAACTTGAATCCATTGCAGCTGCAAGGTCCAGACCGACAGCCCAGCAACACCCGTGCAAGAGAATATGGTGGCTACAGCGCTGCGGAAGGTCTGTCACTCAGGCCCCCTCTGGTTCCAGTTTTTTAATCGACTATTTTGGATTTTCTATATAGATGATTTCTTTAAATTCCTTAGGCTTCTTTAAAGACTTTATCTTGGTGTTATGGAGTTTACTCTAAAGGTCCTAGTTACGGGTTTCTTTTTAGCTATCCTCCTTTCATATGTGTTGTGCTTACTGGATCTACATATCTGAATATTTCATTCTGGAAAAATCAAGTATTATTTTTTCAAATATTTCCTCTCCTCATTTGTCTCTTCTCTTTTTGTGAAACCCTGACTTATTTAAGGTCTTCAACCTAACATTTCTATTAGCCTCACTTTCAGTTTTCTCATCTCTTTATTTCTATGCACTGCATTAAAATATATATTAAAAATTTTAATTTAAAAATATATATAGTTCTTTGATTTTATTTATCAGAGTTTGTAGTTTTCCTTATATGGATCTTGTACATATTTGCTCAGATTTTTACTTATTTTTTTTAGGTACTACATTTTACTTACATTTTCTGTTCTGCTATCTGCTCTGTGCTGTAACCCAATAACACAAAGATCAAAATCAGGAATGAAAATGGGAGCATCACTATAGATCCTACAGAAATCAGATAATTAAGGTCATATTATGAATAATGTTGTGCCAGTAAATGTAACAACTTAGATAAAATGGCAAGTTCCTTGAAAACCAAAATGCCAAAACAATGCCAAAAAAATTATCTTCTCAATAGATACAGAAAAAGCCTTTGATAAAATCCAACATTGCTTTATGATGAAAACCCTCAACAAACTAGGCATCAAAGGAACATACCTCAAAATAATAAGAGCCAGCTATGAGAAACTCACAGCCAACATCATACTGAATGAGCAAATGCTGAAGCATTCGTCTTGAGGACTGGAACAAGACAAGGATGCTCACTCTCACCACTTATATTCAACATACTACCGAAAGTCCTAGCTGGAGTAATGATGTAAGAGAGAAAAATGAAAGGTATCCAAATAGGAAAATAAGTCAAACTACCTCTCTTTGCTAACAATAACAATTCTATATCTAGAAAACCCTAAAGACTTCATGAAAAGTTTCCTGGAACTGATAAACAACTTCAGCGAAGTTTCAGGATACAAAATCAATATAAAGGTAGCACTTCTATATGCTAGTAGTGTTCAAGCCAAGAACCAAATAAAAAACACAATCCCATTTACAATGGCCTAAAAAAGATAAATACCTGGGAATCTATCTACCAAGGAGATGAAAGATCTCTACTAACAAGAAGAACTAGAAAGCACTGCTGAAAGAAATTATAGATGACACAAAAAACTGGAAAAATATTACATGCTCATGAATTGGAAGAGTCAATATTGTTAAACTGATCATACTGCTCAGAACAACACTATTTCAATCAAACTGCAAATGTCACTTTTCACAGGATTAGAAAAAAACTATTCTAAATTTATATGGAACCAAAAAAGGGCCCAAAGAACCAAAGCAATCCTAAGCAGAAGGAACAAAGCCACAGGCATCACACCACCTTACTTCAAAGTATACTATAAGGCTACAGTAACCAAAACAGCATGGCATTGGTCCAAAAACAGACACATAGACCAATGAAAAAGAATAGGGAACCCAGATATAAAGCTGCAAACCTACAGCCATCTGATCTTCAACAAAGTTGACAGAATTAAGCAATGGGGAGAGAAATCCCTATTCAATAAGTAATGCTGGGATAGCTGGCCAGTTATATGCAGAAAAATGAAACTAGACCTCTCAATATATTCGAAAATTAAGAGGGATTAAAAATTTAATATGAGACCTCAAACTATGAGAAACCAAGAAGAGAACCTAGGAAACACCATATTGGACATCAGCCTTGAGAAAGATTGATAACCAAGTCCTGAAAAGCAATTGCAATAAAAAAATTGACAAATGGGACCTAATTAAACTACAGAGCTTCTGTATGACAAAAGAAGCTATCAGTAGAGTAAATGTACAACCTACAGAATGGAAATGCAAAATATTTGCAAAGGTCTAATATCCAGAATCTATAGGAACATAAACAATTTAACAAGCAAAAAATAAACAGCCTCATTTTAAAAAATGGGCAACAGACATGAACAAGCACTTTTTAAAAAAGATAAACAAGCAACCAACAAACAGGTGAAAAAAGTGCTCAACGTCACTAATTATTGGAGAAATGCAAATCAAAACTACAGTGAGATACCATCTCACACCAGTCAGAATGGATATTACTAAAGTAAAAAAAAAAAAAATAGATACCAGCTAGGTTGCAGAGAGAATGGAATGCTTATACTCTGTTGGTAGGAATGTAAATTAGTTCAGCCCCTGGGAAAGCAGTTTGGAGATTTCTCAAAGAATTTAAAACAGAACTACCATTTGACCCAGCAATCCCATTGCTGTGTATATAATCCCAAATTAAATAAATTGTTCTACCCAAAAGACATATGCACTCATATGTTCATTGCAGCACTATTCACAACAGCAAAGATATGTAATCAACCTAGATGCCCATCAATGGTGGATTGCACCAAAAAAATGTGGTACATATACACCATGGAATACTATGTAACCACCAAAAGAAATAAAATCATCTCCTTTGCAGCAACATGAATGCAGCTGGAGGTCATTATCCTAAGTGAATTAATTCAGGAACAGAAAACCCACTACCAAATATTCTCACTTATAAGTGGGAGCTAAATAATTGGACACTCATGGATGTTAAGGTTTCAAGAATAGACAATGGATACTACTGGAGATGGGAGAGGGCTGAAAACACTGTTGAGCACTATACTCACTACCTGGACAACAGGATCATTCATATCCCACACTTCAATATCACACAATATACTTAAGTAACGAACCTGCACACGTACCCTCTGAATCTGAAATAAAAGTTGAGGTCCTTGCTCATGCCTGTGTCCTGACTGCATTGCTTAGGTTTTCTTCTAGGGTTTTTATAGTTTTAGGTCTTATGTTTAAATCTTTGATCCATCTGGAGTTAATTTTTATATAAGGTGTAAGGAAAGGATTGAGTTTCAGCTTTCTGCATATGGCTAGCCAGTTTTCCTAACACCATTTATTAAATAAGGAATCATTTTTCCATTGCTTGTTTTTGTCAGGTTTGTCAAAGGTCAGATGGTTATAGATGTATGGCGTTATTTCTGAGGCCTCTGTTATGTTCCATTGGTCTGTATATCTGTTTTGGTACCAGTCCCATACTGTAGCCTTTAGTATAGTTTGAAGTCAGAAAGCATGATGCCTCCAGGTTTTTTTGTTTTGTTTTGTTTTTTGCTTAGGATTGTCTTGGCTACTTGGGCATGCCATGGAATACTATGCAGCCATGAGTTCATGTCCTTTTCAGGGACATGGATAAAGCTGGAAACCATCAGTCTCAGCAAACAGACACAGAACGGAAAACCAAACACCACATGTTTTCACTCATAAGTGGATGTAGAACAATGAGAACACATGGACACAGGGAGGGGAACATCACACACTGGGATCTGTCAGGAGATGGGTGGGGGGAAGGATAGCAGGGGATTTGGGGATAAGGGAGGGATAGCTTTAGGAGAAAAACCTAATGTAGATGATAGGGTGATGGATGCAGCAAACCACCATGGCACGTGTATACCTATGTAACCTGCCCATTCTGCACATGTACCCCAGAACTTAAAGTATAATAAAAATAAATGAATTAAAAAGTTGAAATTTTAAAAAATACCAAAACTAACAGAAGAAATTTAAAATCTAAATAAACACAGACCTGTTAAAGAAATTGAATTTGTATTCTAAAGGCTTCCCACAAAGAAAACTCTAGGCCATGTTGTTTTACCAGTCAATTCTTCCAAACCTAAGGAAGAAATAATACTTATCCTTCACAAACTCCTTTAGGATATAAGGTAGGGGGAGAAACACTTCCCAACTTACTTGATGTGATCATTATTACCCCAATACTTAAACCTGACAAATATATAAGAAAAGAACAATGTCCATTATAAATGTAGATGCAAATTTCCTTGAAAATATTATTAATAAAATCTGGCAAAATATAAAGGATAATATATCATTACCACATCATGTTTAATCCATGAATGCAGTTGGTCTAGCATTTGAAAATCAGTCAAGGTAATATACTACATTAGCAGTAAAAGAGGGAGAAAGTATATAGCACCTTAACACATGTGCAAAAATAACTTAAAATTTACTACTTTATAATAAAGGCTCACAGTACATTAATAACAGAAAAGAACTATCTCAGTCTGATAAAATGGCATTGCTATCATTTAAATGTGTTTTCCAAAGTTTATGTGTTATAATCCCCAGTGCAACAGAGTTGAGAGGTGGGACCCTTAAGAGGTGATTAAGTCCCGAGAGCTCTGCCCTCATGAATGGATTAATGCCATTACTGTGGGACTGGGTTCCTGATAAAAGGATGAATTCTTCCCACTTTCCCATGCTCTGTTGCACAGGCTTTGCCATTGCACCCTTCTGCCATTACACCGTTCTGCCATTGCACCCTTCTGCCATTACAGAGGTGATGCCGCAAGAAGGCCCTTGCAAGATACAGCCCATTGATCTTGGACTTCTCAGTCACCAGAACCATCAGCCATGTAAATTTTGGTTTATTATAAACTACCCAGTCTCAAGTATTCTGTTATATTGGCACAAAATGGCTTAAGACAGGCATCTATAAAAAACCTCCAGCCAGTGTCATACTTAATGAAATATGAATCCCTCTTCCCTATAATTTGGAAATGGGCGAGGACTTTCGCTTTCACCAACTTCATTTAACATGGTTATGTAAATCTGAGCCGTATTAATAAGGAAAGGAAAAAAATAAAGGGTGCATCAATTGGAAAGGAAAAGTAAAAACTAATTTTTTACAGATAATAAGATTATATAT